CGAAATGCATGTCTCAAAGCCAGTAGCGCGGGCTGGCTCGCGCTTGTAGCTTCGGCTGCAATCTCAGCTTAAGGGTGAACAGAGTATAGTGTTGCGAACATGGCATTTCACTCGAACACTGGACTCTTTAGCATGGTTTTCATGTGGCGTCATCGCACTATATTCATGTGGTCATTGCGATTTGCTCTTGCTCAGAACGTGAAAACAGGGGGTGCAAAAATCAAGCTGCAGAAGGTTTGCGCTCTGTGCTAGTCATGTATTCGAGAGACACATTATTCTCGTTTGGTGCAGCGTCCTGAGAAACGGGGCCAGTGTCTGGTACCACGAAAACGCTCTTTCTGGCAGGAGTGTTCTTGAAAACAAAGTAGTTTGCAGGACAACGCTTTTTTATCTTTGACGAAAATGCGGAGTGGAGGAACCTTTACAACACAGTGTGTCTTGAACACCCCCCCCCCCCCCCCTCCCTCCAGCTTTTCTTTCTTCGATGCTCCTCCAGAGAATTTGCAACTCCAATGCTCCATAGGTGGCGGGGCGGTAGTTCCAAGATGGCGGAAGAGACGGGGATAGATTATCCAGGGTTTTCCGTGCGCCTGTTTTCTGACGCTGGTCAGTGTGCTAAAAATGACTTATTTGTCTGCAAACGCGAAGTGGCTAGGGCAGGACCATATTACAGGTGACGGAGATGTTGATACCCGTTAGCAAAACGAGCAGGCTGATATTTAAAAGTTGCAGGAACCTCGACTTGCGAAGCTTTGTGGTGGGCGAGCGCGTTTTACGCACCGGCTACGTTACTGTTTGTGGCAGAATATTTTCTAGGGTGATGAAAATATCGTGTTTTCGCTTTGCCTGTCCATTAGTGCTCTAAAATGTGAGCAGCGCACGGTGGCCGTCAAGCTTCAGAAGAGCAGCGTTCAAAGTATTGACGCCTTCGTGTCACAGGCTCGCAACTCGATGCTGACCGTCTCGGTTTTAGTGTATTGCAACACGTGATCAAACTGCTCTATGGTTATTGATAGGACGTTTGTTACCGCAGGCTTCCGTGCGGTGTAGCATTACAACCGGAGGCTTGCACTGCGCCTTTGGAGCACAATTCTCAGCGCGTGCCAGGAGCCTTGCTGTGCTCACGGTAGCCAACTGTAGCCTGCGGTAACGGTATGTTAAAACTGCCTATTACCATAATCGGCGTGTTTAGGGGTTTTATTTATTGCTCTACCAGAAATGCATGTTTTAATATACCGTACTTTCTTTTTCCTTTTTTTGTACCGTCTTATTTGCAACGTCGTGGCACATCTCGCCAAAACTGCCCGTTCTAAGCTCTCGTCACGAACGGCTGGCTGAAACAGACGCGCTTGAAATGCTTCGGGCATTTATTTATTTATTTTATAATTGCCTCAAAGCAAGTAGGCGTATTCTATCTTTTAAAAGTGCTTGGAGTAAATGGTCATGTTCCTACGGCCTTAAAACGCAAATGCATTCCCGACGTGCATTGCTCGACATATCCGTTGCGCGACCAATTTTCTCCTACTTAGGGCAAATAATAGACTTTTCATAGACCGAACGTTAGAGCTCTACATTATTAGCGGAAGCTTTTGCCGTCATGTTGAGCACAGATCGAATTGGCGGCCATGCACAAGACCAGAAATCCGCAGCGTATGTGGTATACGAAAAGTCCCTTATGAAATGAAACATCCCGGCCCCTTCGTGCAACGCTGTTGCGAGGTGGAGCACAAGAATTCGCTCACTTTTTTCGTCAAAACGGTTTCACGCATCAAGGCCGACAGTCCCCGCCACCGTTTCCGCGCCGCCGCCGCCGCTGTCGTCCCCGTTCCTCTGGTTCCCCACTCGTCCGCGGGAGGGCGAGCGGTGCGCTGGAGTTGCGAATACTTTTCTATTCCTGAGGAACTTCCTCCTTCGTTTGGGCGTGTTAATTCTACAATTATATTTGTGTCCTCTGATAATAGTAATCCTCCATTTAATTTATTTTGCGCCCAAAAACTGTGAAGTTTAAACAAAATAAAGAGGTGGTCAAAGCTTTATGGCAGAACTTGAGAACCACACTCCTGTGAGACTTAGAACGCTGCCAACGTTCGGCAGTCGCTCTGAGGCCACTAGGATCTTCCTTTTCGGGTACCCCTTTTGTTACACTCTTGTAGTTCTATTTATCGCGTGATTAACGAGTCGCATTTAATCCTTTTTAATGCTTCTATTCTTGGGGACAACTTCCTGAGAGAGTTCAGCAACAGCGAAAACATGTTTGGCTGCCTTAATGATGTGCACAGGTAAAATGGGTAGTGCAACAATTTTTGTGCTTTGAGTAAATACCGCTAAGAGCTAATCCCTGACTTGGGTAACTCGCCAAAGCACCCGTTAGTTTTTTTCTCCACTCAGTGGCAGACGCAGAAAGGATAAACAGAAGAAACAGCTTTCCCCTCCTCAACTCCCTATCAGAACAAGCGGCCGCGTGATCTGACGCTAATTATATACCGTCAGTGTTCATCACAGCCATGCGATTAGACGGTGTTAGAGTTCGGCTATTCTCATCTTTGATTGAGCACGAGCCATTACCCGAATGTTCGGCGATGCTGATTGTCATGAACCCGAGCACTCGACTCGGGCTCATGAGAATCGAGTGCGTCCCGTTGTCACGTGTCTCGCGGGGAGAAGTCGTCATACCGTGTGACGTCACGGTGTCAACAACGCTAAGAAATCGAGTGACGTTCTCAGTCTAAGTAGACCTGACGCAGTGAGTCACGCGACTACGTCATGGGGCCACGTGACGTGACATTACTTCAGAGCATATCTTGACACCATCTGTCACTTGACCACGTGACGCATGATTTATCATAGTGCCAATGCAAAAGCGCCACGAAAACCCACAATTTCTCATAGATTTCTATTCGGTATGTGACAATTTGATCACTATATAGAAATACAGTTGCCAATTTTTATTTCTCAAATATTCATTTTGTAATAAACAAAAAATGCCGTGAAGAGCTTTGAACCGGTTACCCTTATATTTTTTTTCCGGTTCAGTTCCAAGATGGCGGCGAAGATTTCGGTTCAATCCAGTTCCGGTTCGGCTCGGCTAAAAATAGCGGTTCGGTTCCGGTTTTCCGTTCGGTTCGGTTCCGGTTCGACACTCAGTGGGACAGTGTGTTTAGTTGTTCGCGCTTTTTTCTTATTAAGGATGAAATGCTTTTTAACACAACCCTCCAATTCCAATTGGGCGTCCGTCCCTCGTCCGCGCATATCCCGCTAAATTTGGCGGGGAAATGAATATTACGACACCTATACACGTATTCAGTTTCTCGTCTAAATTTAGCGGGAAAATTGATGTCACGTGACCTATGCACCAATTCAGTTTCCCCGCTAGATTTGGCGGGAAAGTGGTGTCAGGTGAAGTCAGGTGACGTCACGTGGCCTATTATCCCTGGGGAATTGACGGGACGTGACCTCTGCACCAAATAAGTTACCCGCTAAATTTAGCGGGAAAATTCACGTCTCGTGACCTAGACACCAATCCAGTTTTCCCGCTGTCTTTAGCGAGGAAAATCGACGTCACGTGGCATCCCTACCGAAAGAAACCAGTAGAACTTTTCGCTAACTGAATTACGGAGCAGAAAATCTAACTGGATTTCTTGCTGGAAATGTGAAATTCAGTTTCCAACAAGATTTCCAGTTAGATTTTCTGTTCCATAATCCAGTAAGCGAAAAGTTTTACGAGTTTTTTTTCGGTAGGGATCCTCACTAATCCCCTCACCAACCCCTTACCAATTCACTATAACGCACTTTCTGCAATATACGACTTTTAAGATGAAGGTCGTTGCCATTTTTTCAAACATATTTAACATCGTAGTGAGGTGCAAACTGTATTTGGTCGTTGAGAGTTTAAGAAATCCAGGGCGTGGCTTCGCGCTTCGTTCTTCGGAGTTGACAAATGCCGGCTGAGACGCGATGATAAAATGCTCTCGCCACGCCCGTCGGTTCTTAAGCTTTCGGAGGTCTTGGGTTCAATTAAGGGACGCAGGCCGACTCCTAGACCAGGCGCTCATTAAAGCAGTTTTCCGGATGATTGATTGGCCAGCTTCTTTTATTCTGCGCGTGTGCGCGCGCAACAATTTGGTTGTGCGGGGCCCCGGGGTGCTTCGTGGCGGTAACGGCGAATAAATCTCCCGAAAGTGATCCGCCTTCCAGCTTACAACAATCCAGAGGCAGCATCGGCGGCCGCAGCAGCTTTTCGGTGCGTCTCGAACAGGCGGGGAGCAGCTCCCGAAGGCAGGGCCGCTCGTTGCGGGGCAGCGCCCCAGTGGCAGCTGTCAAGATCTCGATCGAGGCTGCCGCAGCGAGGAAATAATTATCGCCGGCTTCAATGAAACCGCCAGGGTTCGCGTGACACTCGTAATTTAAACGTTGCTTCCTGATTAGCATAGCCCGGGACGAGCGGCAGGCTGGGGCCTGCCCGAACGATGGGCCATCCGCTACGGCATGCGAGACGTCGGCCTGGTGGACAGCGCGCGCAATTAGCGTGTCGCGCTTTCTTTGCCCAAACATTCTGGAACGAGATGGCCCAGTTGACGTTTCCGGCACGGTCCGCATCGGGGTTTCTTACGGGCCCAGAACATTGTCTCTGCTTCTTGCGCGGAGCGAGAGCAAAGCCGATCACCGCGATCTACTCGAGCATGCACGTATACGAAGACCGGAGGAATGGCCGAAACGCCATTCTACTACGTCTCACGTCGCGTTAAATCGGAGCTAGTCGGCCCACGTCAATTACGTGTCAAAAAAAAAAAAAAAGAAGAAGCTACGAAAATGTCGTGAAAAGACGATGGAACATATATAAGGGTGATCATTTTTGTCGAATCCGGGTTAAATACGGGCGAGCTGTTCATGTACAGTTGCCGGGTGAACCAGCGCAGATGTATACCAATCCTGTTTCAAGTGGCGCGCTCCGTCGACCTGTGCGGACGCCGGTCTGACTGTGTGTTGCCCGTTTGTTGCAGAGGAAGAGCCGTACTCGTCGCAGATGCACATCGAGAAGCAGCGCTACGACGGCTGGTACAACAACCTCGCCCACCAGGACTGGGGCGCTGTCGGTGAGTACGCCAGCTCTCGCTGCCATCGGGTTCAGGCACATCGAGATTTCCTAGAACCCTCAGGCAGGGCATCGGGGGAGAGACAAAAAGACGCGTTGAACAAAGAGACCAGCTTAGGCGCCCATTGGCGCGGAAGAAACGAATTGTCCTGTCCTAGAATTTTCTGTGGGCCATTGCGGCGCGCCGTCATCCACGGAGGACGAGCAAAGAGGTCGAGCCGGATTCACCGGATGCCACAGAGGGCCGATTCATGAGCAGCTCTGCGCTTGACCAGCATAGCACACCTAGAAGACCAGGCCTGCTCCTTTCCCCCCGAAACGTCATCACTAGTGAATCAACGGAGCACAGCGCCTAGCTCGGGTCGACTTCACCGCCAGCGCGTTTCGCAGCGTCTCGGAACGAGCGCGACGCGAGGACGGAAGCGTCTGTCACTTTCCGGCGTCTTCGGTCGAACTTCAGCGTATTTGGATCCACTAATGGTGTCGTCATGAGCAGACCTGGGGCCCTATGTTAGACTGCGGGACCAAGCGGGACAGCGAGTTCGGAACATCGCCCCCGTCTGCGATCGGCCAGCGCCGCGCTGCTGACCAATCACAGACGGCGGCGGCGTCCCACTCCCTGTCCCGCTTGGTCCCGTCGTGTATCGCCTTAGGGAAGGGAGCTCCTCAAGCTCATAGTTTTTTCCCCCAACCTCCTCTAAATAAAGGCTATGTGATTACCGTAGCTCTCTCGTCGATGTTTCTACTTCGAACGACTGCACGCTTAGATGAGAGAATCACGAGGCAAAGTCCATTTTTAGAATGGTGCTGCTTACCTGCCAATATTAGGGGTTTGTGGATTCTTCAAGCTGTGCTGCCGCAGATTTTCTTTCCCACAGCTCCTTCCTTAGCTGTACAAGGGGAAGATAACAACTGATTTGATTTGCTCTGCGGGGCGGTCCCTGACTTTTGGGCGGTTGGGTCCCCGAGTTGTCAGGTCCGACCGGACGTTCTGGGCGTCGGAGTGACTCGCGGGCGGCACGCGCCCCCGAGCCTCTTTAGCCGCTCAACGCGCCTCGCTTAAAGGTCGTCGGGGATGCACCCGTAATGGCGTGCAAATGGACCCTAATGGCTTCGAGCCTTTGCCGCTCGCGCCGCACATGGACAGGAAAACGCTGGGCGCATATGGAACGCCCACCGGTGAGAGCAACACCTCCGATTATCTTAAACGGGCCTCGAGTTCGTAGACTGTCCGAGGCTCGGCCAACGGAGAGCGCTGCAGCGAGCCTCGAATTGCCCGATCCTTTGGAGCGTTCGCGTCGGGGTTTGATCTTTTCCGCGACAGGATTTTACATACGTGAATGGCGGGGGCCGCGACAGAACGTGCTAAGTGTAATCGCGGACCTTTCTTGGCGGGCGTCAGAGGTTACAATGTGGGAATCGTAGGCTGCGTTCGGAAACGGAGCGTCGAGCCTCGCGGCACTTTTATTTCGTGAATTTATCTGAAACCCGCTTCCGGCTATATGAACGTGTTATGCGTGCTTAGCTTCCTTTCGAACGAAGTAGATCACAAACACTAGGTTTCTGCAGCGGTACAATTAGGCGGTGAACTTCCCTTAGCCGGATAATCGGGTCGGACGAGACTTTGTTGCCGTCTCACAGCGCAGCAACTGCGGCCATTGGCCATCCATCACGTAGGGCTTTCTAGCTCTCTCGCTTGTAACAAAAATACATAATTAAAAAAGAGTAATTCGGGTACGGCAGCGTTTGTTGGCGAAGGAGAACCAACAACGTTATACTGCGAGCAACGAACGGGCCAGGCCCCGTACATATTACGTCAATCGGACTCTCCCGCATGGTGACCAGTGAATCCCCAGGCGTGACCGAGTCGTAGCTAAGCGCACGCAGAAAGAAGCATCGCGCCAGTCCAGTCTGCCATCGCGTCTAGGCGGCGTTGGCCGCTTCAAATCCACTCCCAGATGGAAAAAAGTTGCGCATTTTCGGAGTGATGCCATCACAACGTCAGGAGAGGTAGGCCAAATCTGCCACAAACCCTGATCAATACTAGGTTGTTCTTTTTTTTTTTTTTTAGACATGGAAGGTTCCTGTTATGTGTGCACAAACACGGTCAATGCTTCTGTTGCGGAAGATATTAATACCGTGAGGAGAAAGCTTTGTTGCCTGTGTTCTTCAGGCCAGGAAGTCCTAATCTTTTTTTCGAATCGTTGTTTTTCTTGCAGAACGGAGAGTAAATGGCGAGGTAGTCACTAATGGCCCGAAGCTTGACTTTGGAATGAGCTTCCTTGCCTGAGATTATCAATGGTACATACGCTGACATATAGCGAACTTTTATACAAACATAATTTTTTTTTTTTCGTGTGAGCTTTTGTTTACGATCTACGCCAAGGTTCGAGAGCCTTCCTAAACTTATCTTATTGTCTGACTGCGCGGTGAATCCGTCGTTGTCCCAGCTGCACTTTCGCTCAGACGCAGTTCCATCGAAGTACCCGGACTGCTCAAATTACTTATCGAGTCATCACACCGCAAGAAACTGCTCAAACCGAATTTTTCCGAATATTAATTTCATTCCAATAGCGCGCTCGCAATGTCCAACAAAAATGTAAAAAAACTAAAAAATAGTAAAATACAGTCAGAAAAAAAAAAACGATCATTTCGATGGAGCTTATAAAAGTGAATGATGAAAAGAAAGCTGTCCGCTATACTAGCTCACGCGTAAAGTGGTACTGATCAGTACATGAACAAAAATATTGTTATAAGCATTTAGAACATTAGCTGTTATTTGTAAATGAAATGATGCGAAGTCAAAATCTAACTGTCGCAATAAAACGCCCAACTCACCTGCAAGAGTGACATCCGTAAAGGGCGAAAATCATGCTTAAAAATATAAACTAAGAAAATGGTAGCCAGATTAATAAAAATCGACCAAAGTGTAAACATTATTTTGATAGATTCTAGCGTGAAGCAAGCAGTATCGTAGGGCTGATTGAGTGCCAAAGCAAGTTTGCGTGGGGAATTGTCTGGCCGCCCGGTATTTTCCAGGAAACTCTGGCGCTGGACAAGCGAACTTTCCACAAACATATCCGGTTTGCCGTCTGAGAAATTTCCCCACGGGTATCCGCCCAGACCTGTCGGAGGCAATCGCCTGTCACCGCGTTACCTCCGGCGAGGCACACGTACACTCTCTGAAGCACGGGCTTCGGCTCTTATACTTATTCGTTCATTTACTTGTTTACCGATTTCCTTATTTACCTATTTATATCCATACAGCATATACCGCAGGAACCAGGAATTGGCGTCGTTGCGATACCTCAGTTTGCGAGAGCCCACTAAGACATTCATACTGCTTAATCAGATTCCTTCGCACTCTATAATTTGATTTTTAATGTTAAACGCCCGCCCAAATTTAGAAGAAATGCGCATGGCCACCTTTCTGAGAGGGAAACCCCGGGCAAACGCAGAAACATCACCGGGCGTTTCGTCACTTAGCAGGTTGCAGTTTCGCCCGTGTTGTCGGCGCAGCTGCCAATTAGTAACCCGTTTTTGCGCCTTCCCTGTCAGACACAAACAGAAGGGAGCCTACACGTGGCTTTCGCGTTGCTGAAGAGAGTGCGGCGCGTCGACTGAGCCGACACCGCAGTACAGCGCTCCGTATAAAAATACTGGACCTCATAAAGGCCGTCCTACTTTCGGGATTCCCCTTTGATTTTCTCCCAATGTCAGGCAGATTTTTTGTTTCCATTTGGCGGGCGCGCACAAAGGCCAGGTCCACCGCGGCACGTGTTTGGAGGGCGTTGTTTAGAGCGTTTCAGTGACGGCACGACGCGAGGGAACTGGGGTTTTCCTGTCCCGGTGGTTTCTCCAGAAGTCCGGTCATCGGATGGGAGCGGGGTCGAGATGCTCCGGAGACGGATCAGTCTGTCGCCGGGACGTTGATCTCGTCCGGAACTGGTGGGCGGAGAGAGAGAGGGACGGGGAAGACTGTATCCCCCTTGGACAGGCACCCTGAAGGGCTGGAAAGAGCGAGTCTGGTACGGAGTTGGATGGATGGAAATCGACAGGCGGTGCTGACGATGCTTGTGGGAAAACATCGCGCTCGACCTCGGGGGAGGGAAAGGGTGGAAAGAGAAGATGGAGAGCTCAAGTGAGAGTCCACCACCACTCGATAGAAAGGCTGTAGTGCTAAAGTTTCAAGAAGGCAAACGAGGAGCAAGGATTGGACGGGAGTACCGTGTCGGCGTTCGGACAAGGCTCCCGCCTTCGCTGATTGGAGATGGGTCCCAGCCGAACGATGACGAAACAGTATCGGCGTTCGCCTCCTTAGGGCGACGTCGAAGCTTCGCCACTACGGTCTTCCTAGCGAGGCGTGCTCATTAGTGCTTATTGGGAAGAGCTCGTGGAGTAACTCACCGGGCCATTTGCTGCACCACTGTGACCGGCGTATTTTCATCGACGTCACATCCCCTGCCTTACTTGAGAGAGGGGGGGGCTGCTGTTCTATATGTAAGCACGCCTCACTGAATCCCGCGCTAGTCTTTAGCCGGCTCGCAGATTTGCTTCCCCGATATGCGTGAACAAATGTGGGAGCCGACTAAGGGCCGGCGCGTGATTTAGTGAAGCGGGTTTACTGAAGCCCCCCCCCCCTCCCCCTTTCCCCAGCAGCCCAGGCGATGTGACGTCCATGAAAACGGGCCAATGAGAGAGCCAAAAATGGCCCATTCAGCTTCTCCAAGTGCGCGTCCCTGGTGGCTACTCCGAACAAAGAGAGGAAGCTGCGGAAATTAGAAGAGAAAATTATTAGCGTTCATCGCACCTCTCCTGCGTTTCCAAGTGGCGATGGTCGGGTGTCTGACTCACTCGACGTTTCGCGTCGCTCGATCTCTCGCGGCACGTGTTCCCGGGACCTCTCGAGGACACCTAGAGGGCCCAGAGGCGAGACATACGGAGTGCCGGGTTTTTGTTTCTGCTCGTCCCGGTCTTTGCAGAGCGCTGTTCGCCCCGTGTAACTGCGAGGGCCCGGAGGTTGCTTGTCGAGAGATGGATCGTCCTGTCACCGAGACGTTAACGTGCTTGACGTTGATGTGGTGGAGAGAAGGAAAGATAGACAAAGAGAGCCGGGAGGAGGAGAGACTAGCCTGAGCAGGACAGGTCTTCCTGCGGAGCGTTCCTTTCTGCAGATTGGACTAGGAGGAGGCAAATGGAAACATGGACTGTAGTGACACGTGTTGGAAACTACCAAGCACTTGGGAAGATTATGTCGGGCCTTTCACGTCGCACGTCGCCTGTACGTCACCTCAAAAAAAGAGAGAGAGAATTGATATTGTATTTGACGTGCTGAAAAATGACTCTTGAAGCTCCAGAACAATATATACAGTATATACCGGGTGTTTCATTTGAGTTCGAACAAATGTATTAGAAAACATTCGTAAAAGATGCACTAACACGGTTGGTGCAGGTGAGTTATAAGGCCAGGTGGGCATTATCTGGGTGTCTCATCTTTGCGATAAGTCGTCGGATAATCAACTAAACTTCCTTAATTAAATTTCCAATTAGTAAAAAATTATTTTTACTAATTGAAAAGTTAATTAAGGAAGTTTAGTTAAATATCCGAGGACTTATCGCAAAGATGAGACACCCAGATAATGCCAAATGCCCACCTGGCCTTATAACTCACCTGCACTAACCGTGTTAGTGCATCTTTTACGAATGTTTTCTAATACATTTGTTCGAATTAAAATGGAACACCCGGTATATATAAAAAAACGCACAGGCAAAAAAACAAAAAGGAATGTGGTGTAAAAGTGTTGCGCGAGGCAACTCGAGTAACAAAGAGTGAGAGAAACATAAGAAACATGTACGCATTTCACAAAGTGGAGAACAAAACAATCTCTGTCGCCTTCACCGAACACTACCAGTCATTTCTCTCCACCTAGCGCAGGCAGGTACTGAATCACTCACGCATTCACGCCTATAGCCGCTTTGCGCACGCGCCCGATTACAGCCGCCATTGCTGACTTTCTCTTGTCCTACCCAGATGCCGGACTACTGAAGCCGGTGTTGACGAGCCTCTACAAGTGCAAATGCTGGGGACAAGGACGCAGTAGAACCTGAAATGGCAATAAGACGTGTCCTCTTCTGCTAACGGTGAAGTGAAGGGAACCGAATAAGAGGAAGTGCGAAAACCTGAAGGTCCGTTAGGGCGGCGCCCGTGCACAGCTACTGCAAAGCGTCTCTACTGGTGTATGGAAGCAGCAAAATTATTGCCGGAATAAGTAACAACGTTTCCTCCTCGGGGATGAACCCCGGACTCGGTCCTCGACTTGGTCGTAACTTTGCAACGTGAGCGAGCGTCTGGAAATGAGCGCGACCGCTGTATTTCTTGACGTGCATCGTGCGTTCGACAGTGAAGATTGTGAAGATTTCGCATATTTCCCCGACTTAGCATGCGAAGCTACATGACAGGTCGAACACGCAACTTTCTCCTTTGCGTAAATATGTGTGTGAGCACGGGTGACGGAAACAGCAAAGAGCGTGAACTCCAGCAGAACGTACAACGGGGCAGCGTTCTGAACCAGACACCATTTATTGTGGCCTTGGCTGAATTGCAAAATCAGCTTCCTTCATAACTCGATGATTCAATCTATGAGGATATTTGTACCTGGGCATCCGCATTGTCTCGAGCCTTTTTCCAGAAACAATTACAACGTAAACTTGATAAGACATACAACTCTCTTCCAGAGAAGGGCTTGGACGAACATTTCGATAAAATAAGAAAAAAACTGGAGTTCTTCCATTCACATAAGGAGCATCTTGAAAGTGCATGTCTCGCTCTACAAGGACGACAGATTAAGAAAGTCAAATGGCACTCTTTCCTAGGCATTACGTTGGAGAGTCATTGACATCCACGCTTGAAACGAAAGTTAATGGAGTCATTAATGCTCTGGTTTATCATCAGTGCTCCGGTTTATTGCACTAATATTCTATTTCTTTTTTTTCGAGGGAGGTGTATTTTGTATTAAACTCTAAGCACTGAATGAAATTTTTTTCTTTTTTTTCTGGGGGGGGGGCTTCATCGCCCCGCAAAAGCCTCCACCTCGCGTTCCGTATAGTGCGATTTCCCTTCACTTGCGATGTCGCTCATGCGGCAAAGAAAGCGTGGTGGAAGCATACGCACGTGCTCACGCTCTCGTGAAATCGCAAGTAAAATCGCGCCATATGAATCGGGCTTTAAGCGGAGACCACGCCGCCTTCTAGAATCCTGATGTGTTCAGCTGACTGCAACTGCCTGGGAGCCCCGAGGACAAATAGTATTTTTTAGCTATTCTTCCTAAAGCCACGGGTAATACCTTCGAAGGTACGCATTCGTGGAACGAAGCCCTCGAGCGTGCAAGCGCAAATCGATTCAGCTCAAAGCGTAATGCGCTTTATCCCAAAAAGTTATAACGACATAAGTGTAGACAAGCTTGCCCGAGAAACCGTGCCGTAGCAGTACAAAGGTTTGCTCGGAGAGATCCTATCGGCTGCCATTAACACTGCGAGACTAGCTGAAACAAATAAGCTCGTAGGTAAATAAGCTCGTTATCGAGAACAACGAGCGAGACTGGGGTGCGTCTACCGCCAACACAATCGGTGCGCCCCTTATTGCGTTAGCTCGAGTCGTTATTGACCCGTGCTCTCAAAACGTGCGCGTGACAAGCGAGCATAGCCTCGCAATGAGGCGCGCGCTTGGAAAACGTGACGAGTCTCCTGGAAAGGCTAGAAAACGCTGAAACCGTCGTGAACGATTAATCGTGAGCGCCTTCCGACGGAAACATCTGGAGCAGCCCGACAAGAGCCAGGCTGTCTGGGTCGACGATTGACGAGCGTTTACGAAGGCGTGCCAACCAAACGCTCGCAGGCTCCGCAGTGCCAGAACGTCGATCACGCCACGTTGGGGAGATGCAGAGGAGTGCAGTGGGCATCAAATCACGAGTAATGATCGGTGTTTCGATAAAAGCGCCAAACGCCTTTATCGGTGACCTAGATGCGGGATGGGTTCCTCCGCGTGTCCTGCGGGATATACTTCTGTCTCTAATACAACGCTTATTCTAACTGGGGTGAATTGGGATTTGTGTAACCATGGCGTCGCAGCCTCCTTTTCCTCTGTCCCCACATCTGTCAGTCCAGCAGCTGTGCGATGCGTGAATGTGCGTCCTTGGCTCGCCTTGTGACGCGGCTCTCTTTGTCGGGGGTGGGGGCGCAGAGAGCCAGCTGGTGCGGAAGGCGCCGTCGTCGTACGCGGACGGCGTGTACATGATCGCCGAGGGGAGGCCCAGCCCGCGCTCCCTGAGCCAGGACCTGTTCAAGGGCGAGGACGGACTGCCCTCCACCAGGAACCTCACCGTCCTCTTCGTCTTCTTCGGTGAGTCTGCGTCATCGTCGGTATATACCGAGGAGTCATTTTTTGTCATTTTGGCCGTATCCCTGCATAACCGCTTGTGGCACCACTCGAAATGTAAATGTGCCCGCCGTCACACTCTCTCGTGCAAATGAGGTGGTGCAGGGAACATACCCAGTAAGACGCCTTCTTCTCTCGGTTCCTGACCCGCGGCGGTTCTGGGCGCAGGGCAAGTGATCTCCTCGGAAGTGTTGATGGCCAGCGAGCCCGGCTGCCCGATCGAGTTCCACCGGATTCCCATCAGCCGCTGTGACGAGATGTACGACAGCAAGTGCACGGGACAGCGCTACATGCCCTTCCACCGGGCCCACTACGACGTCAAGACGGGCCAGTCCCCGAACAACCCCCGGGAACAGGTGAGCTGGCCGCCCGCTCCTTAACTTCCTTTCCACATCCTAGGGACGAGTGGCGATGGCCTCCTCATCTTTCCCTACGTGACGCGTTGAACAGCGCAGAATTCGTATCCCGCTTCAATAAGATACGGTGAGAATGCGTCTTTTAATGCCCGATAGGACGTAAAGCGAGGTCGGTAATAGACAAGCCTAGAAAGGGGCTTTAGAGGGCACCCCATTGATATCGGCAACAGGTCGGGCATGCGCGAGTGAAACATGATGCGACTGAAGGCCCTTTCTGGTGTTGTCATGCGCGTCCTAGGCTCTCATTTAGGTCGAGGACGGTAAGATACTTTTAACTGCACCCCAAGAAAAGTGATTTGACGACGTCACACTACAACGGCGTTGTTCCATATTGAACTGGGAGGTGTTCTGGCCAGGGTGTCGAACCGGAACCGAACCGAACCGAAAACCGGAACAGAACCGTTATTTTTAGCCGAACCGAAACTGAACCGAACCGAAATATTCGCCGCCATATTGGAACTGAACCGGAACCGAACCGAAAAAAAATATAACGGTAACCGGTTCAAAACGGTTCAATGTAATATTTCTTTTTTTTCTTTTTTGTTAGTATCACAAAATGAACATATGGGAATGAAAAATTGGCGGCTGTATTTCTATCTATGGATCAAATCGTCATATACAGAATTGAAAAGTATGCTAAGTTGTGGGTTTTCATGGCACTATGATTAACCATGTGTCACGTTGTCACGTGACGCCACGGTGTCAATACATGTTGTCACGTGACCTCGTGACGTCACGTGACTCTCCGCGTCAACTCGATTTAATTTGAGGAAGTCACTTGATGTATTAACATTGTTGACAGCATGACGTAACATGACATCACGATTTCGCACCGAGAGTCACGTGACACCGTGACGTAAGCGATTTTCAAAACCCCCAGTGGAGTGCTCGGGTTCATGACAATCAGCACCGCCAAACATTCGGGTAACGGCTCATGTCAATTACATATGATAATAGCCCAACTCTAACAATATCTGAAGCTTGTGGGAAAGTTGCCTTGCTGCGTGCCCAACCCGGCGGAACAACACGGAGCCAGGATTTCGGAAAACGTGACACTACATTTATTAGTACATTGTAAACATGAAGTTAGTATCAACAAGGTCGTTGGTCGACACCGCCGCAGCGTGTACCTTTCGCTCCAGGCCCGCTTGTCTCTCTCCTTGGTCGGCGTCCCCGCTGTTGCTCTTATGCGTTTTTTCACGGGGGGTAACGCCCCCCGCGCTTTCTACACAGTGTCGCCCCCTATAGCGTCCACAAGCTCAGCTCAAGCTTTTGCTTTTCAAACCCGAGCCGCCTAGAGCATGACTGTGATGAACACTGGCGGTATCAGATCACGTGGCCGCTTGTTTGAATTGCGAGTTGAAGAGATATCGACAGCTGGTCTCTTTCCTTAATTTTTTCTGCATGTGCTATTAGGGGACAACTAATGGATGTTTCCGCAAGCTATCAACGTTAGGGGTTACTTCTTAACAGTATTTATTGAAAGTACAAGGAGAAATGTTACAACACCCATTTTACGTTATTGAGGCACCCAAATATTTTTCGTTGTTGCTGAACTGCATCCGAAAGATGTTCGTGAGAATAGAAGTACTGAAATTACTAAATGCGACTTATTAATATGACGTGACATAGAACTACACGTGTGTACGGAAGGAATACTAAAAAAATATATATATATATTTTAGTGACCTCAGAGAGACAGCCGAACGTTGGCAGTCGCTGTAAGTCTCACACGAGCGTCGTTCTTAAGTTATTGCCCAAGTTTCGACTTCCTCTGTACTTTGCTTAAAGGAGCTATAAAAAGAGTTCTATACATTACTCAATACTACTCAGGATCACTCCCTAACGTTAATAACTGATTGAACCTGGCTTTGCTATCTTTTTCTAGGCAATGGCAGTCGCCAAAAAAATTCGAGAAATATGAGTACCGTTCATCCCCTCAACTCGGAGCCAGAAGCGGCCATGTGGCCTGGTGCCTATCTTATGCCGCCAACGTTAATCATACCCCTGCGCTGGCGTTTTAAGGAAGAAAACACATGCTCAGTTCCAGGCACTGTTAGAGTTCGGCTATTCTCATCACCGCAGTGGTTGGACAAGAGCCACTACCCAAGTGTCCACCGAGGCATCGTTTGTTACGAGCCGATGTACGGTGCTCACGTAGTCCTCCTGTCTAATCCATGAGCCGCGCTCGACTGTCGTCAGGCGGCTGGTTTTGACCCTACAATTGCGACATCGATCCTTGGGAAGGCAAGACTAAAAGAAATAGTCTCATTTAATCTTCGCGATTTCACCGCGACAAAGAAGCTTCTGAATTAGTGGCGGCCCTGTGCGAGTATACTTGGGCCAGAGGACCAGTACGCCTCAAAAAAGTGATGAACATTCCAACCCGATGTCGTTTTATCACCCCTCTAAACTTCACGGGGTGCAAAATAAAAGCAATAAAGCGTTGCGGTTAACAAGTGTCAAATAAAATTCTCAAATTAACACACACCAATGGAGGAGGCAATTCCTCGGGAATACTTTCAGCCTTTTCACTCTGGTGAAGAAGGAAGACTAGCGAAGCTGTACTATGGTGTAAATGAAGTAATGGCCGGCCGCAAGCCGGCAAGCCAGAGTGGAAAGGCTGGACAGGTTGCCGCCATCTATGCACGCCGCGGCAACCAGACAACCAGCAAGCCGGTTATCTGGTTGCCGTCGTCCTTAATAGATGGCGGTAGCTGTCCAGAGTTTAGTGTCATCATTTGTTTGCTGACAGACACGACACTGGGGAAACTAGCCGTTAACAGCTCCGCTGTATAAAGAAGTTCGTGGGTGTGTGTGGGGGGGGGGGGGGGGGGGGGGGGGAGGGGGGAAGCGGGGGAGCTTTAAAAACATACTGTGTTGTAAAGGTTCCTCTTCCCTGCATTTTTTGCGCAGACCAACAAACGTGACTCCGGAAAATACTTTGCTTGCAAAAACGCTCTTACCAAAAAGTACGTTTTTGTCGTGCCAGACGCTCGCGCCGCTCCTAGCGAAAAACGTCTGACTCGCGACTAAAGGGTCATAAGTTCGAATCCCGCAAAAATTCTTAATTTTTTTCTTTAAGGAAAAATAATTACTTTCAAAAGTGAAATCATTTGAGACATACGGCGACCTTTATTTCGCATTACATGTCATGTTTTAATCACACTCATTCCACGCGTGATATCACGTTTCACGTGAGCATAGTGGGTTGCTCGAAATTCTTGCGCGAGGGTATGCAGCTCTGACGTCATGAACCTATCGACCAATCAGGATTTTCCAGTCACGCCACCGACATCGGTTTTTCTGCGACATGAGCTCCTTAACGCTCTCGAGTTAAAATCATCAGTTAGCAAAAGTGATGCTCATTTGCAAATTAAATTGACCGGCATCTTGTCAAGAACAAACCTCAACAGCCAGGCTATGCCGCTTATTCTGCATAAAAAAATGTTCACTTGGACAAGCGCTATTTTGGGCCGGATTTGATTTGAGTGCGAAGGTGCGTATAGATTGGAGTGAACAATTGTGATTACTTCTTGCTGCATGATTAGTGGCATGCATGCGGTGCTGAGTGTAAAGAATGTTTGGTTAGAACAACTAGCATTTGGATTGCCGCTCGGTGTTTCTATAAAAAATTCACTGAAAGGAATTATCCTAAAACTTTTGTTCCATTCTGAAAATTTAATTGCTTTTAGTTCAGTTGTGTCGTCATCATATACATATATATTGTGAAGTGTATTTCATAAACCTTATTTCATAATTAGCATGAGCACCGAGGTGCTCATTTCATAATTTTATGTGATGTAATTCATTCCTTAGTTCAAGAACACAATCACGATTTCATTTTTAACACTGCGACACAATGTAGTACCAATCACGGGTATTTTAGGCGACCTACCACACTTTGCGACAACATTTTATACCATGTAAATAGATAAGCTTGAACTTTAGAATTTTACTTAAACACGAAGAAAGCACAATAAAATAGAGTATAGTTCTAAATTAGAAGCTGATCTATTTACAGGTATGTACCAACCATGGCTAAACTCTTCACTCTTGTACTTAAACATTTTGATTCAGGTAAAATATATTTTACTGGTAAACAAAGGGATGTGGAGTCGTATGAACACGACGTTATGTATGTTAATGTACAGGGTGTCACAAAAGAAAATTTACACCGTCTTTTTTACCACAAAAATAAACTAGGCATCGCCCAACGCTCATTCTCAGCCCAAAGGTAGCGCTAGAGGCCACAACCAGGTGCCAAAGTTTCAGCCCCATTCGATACCTTAATCAAACGTTTTAAGTGATTTTCTGAAACTTTGAATGGGGAAATGGCGGCCGACAGAGTTTTCGAACAGATGGGGCTCTATGGTACCACAAACTCAAAACGGACAAAAATGCGCTCCATTTTTCCATTGAAATTCTGAAAAAATCACTTATAACTTTTGATTAATTTATCGGATCGGGCTGAAGCTTTGGCATCTGGTTGTGACTTCTAGCTCTACCTTTGAGCGGAGAATGAGCGTTCGACGATGCCTAGTTTATTTTTGCGGTAAAAAAGACCGTGTAAATTTTCTTTTGTGACACCCTGTAGATTTGTTTCTACTCTTGCGTCGAAATTAAATAACTGAATTTCATATTTTGGCACCTAAAAACAAAATTAAACTGCACGGACGATCGAAGAAACAATAGAGTTAATCGTTTCGCGGCGTAAATAGTGTATATATCCACAACAACGCGAAAAAGATATTCTCGATTTAGCGGTTCAAACCGGTTCGAACCGGTTCGAACCGGTTTGAACCGTTATTTTTTGCTCCCCGGAACTGAACCCGAACCGAACCGAAAGCCGTGAACCCAAACCGGAACCGAACCGATAAAAATTTCGGTTCGACACTCTGGTTCTGGCTTACCATAGCTTTCCCACGCGGCTTTCGAGA